CTGGTGCTGGTCCTGGTGCTGGTCCTGGTGCTGGAGTATTGGATCACATAAGAAATTGAAAAGAAAACAATCACTGGGCTGCAACAAGAAGCATCAACAATGCAGGAGCTACTAGTGCTAGTAGTAGTAGTAGTAGTAGTAGTAGTATCACCAGCAATTGTTGTAATTGCAGACCACCATATTGGCATAAGTTGCAAGGAGTACTAGTTCTCAACCTGGATCCAAGGGTCCAAGAACCAGTACTAAAATGTCCAAAGAAAGAGGAGACAAGAACAGCAAGGAATCCGAGGAGACCATGGGTTGAGCATGCAAGCAAGACAGAACCAAAGCAGGAAAATGCCTCAAACCCAAAGAGGACACCAGCAGACATCCAAGAAGCAAACAACAAAAAGTTCACTGGGCACAACAAAGGTGGTCTTGAGGGTATTGTGCTGGTCACTCCTGGTGAGAGTGGCAATCTACTAGTACTACTGCAATCATTCACAAAGCTGCAGGAATGACTACTACTAGTACTACTAGTACAAACCCTTGGAGGGTCAAAGTGCATCCCACAGATGGTCACCTTGATTGAGCTGCTGCTGGAGACACTACTAGTAGTAGTGCTGGGCGCTGCATTTGCATCATAGCAGGGGAATACAAGAAGGCCCAAGATTACATTGTTGTGCAAATTACCAGGGGCAACCAGTTTTAGTGCCTGGGGGGCAACATGCTGCAACTGTCTCCTTCCATCCAACTACACTGTGTGGCAAGAGGGCAGCATAAACCAACAGTTGAACAAAGCAACAAGACTTCAAAGGAAAGTATTTGGTCTTATGTGAGCCACCTGCCATTCCCAAATCTACTACTACCAAGAAGGGCTGCCTGATAGAGCTGGTATATGCAGTAATCTATTGGCTCAAGACCAGGACAACAGGATTGCACAAGATAATCTCTGTCCAGGAGCTAATGACTGAAATCCCCCAGGATGCAAGCAAAGACTTCAAATTTCAATTTATGGAGCAACCAATCCTGGTACATGTGGATGAGACTGGCAACACCATTAAGGTATGTGCTGTTGATGCCTTGTACTACCTCAGGCCCTTGGGGTCTGTGACAGAATGCTTCTTTGCTTTTGACACAAACACGTGCAACCAGATACATCCTACTACTACTACCAGATCAGCCACAGCAACACCACTTACAGGCAATTTATGGGATGCTAAGAGTGACACTGCTATTCTGGGAGAAGCTATACATGCAGCTTGAGGGGTGGAAATTCTAGTTGAACCCATATGCACGTCATGATCCCAAAGTGGTCACAGAAAATATAAACAATTCAAGCAGGGAGATTGTAAAGGAATCCCTCCTGACAGAGACTCTTGGAAAGATTCATGATTATGTAGGGATGATCATTGATTACTCAGTGCCATGGAAGGTAAAGTTCAGCGTGTATGACTAGTTCAGCATGTATGACTAGCTGGAAGAGACACTGCAAAAACTACCTTACAGCCTGAGGGGATTGGTGGCAACTCCTACAGGCAACTATCTATCCAAGGCAAATGACCAGGTGACAAGGCTGAGCAGTGCCCAGGGTGACAGGTTGTCTATGTGCAGACTGCAGTTGTATTTGTATGCACACGCATGTTGAAACCCAATGAGGACAACTGGAAGAAGCTCAAGCATGCCATGGGCTGTTTGTCCAACACACCAGCCATACATCCCTCTCATCCTAGGATGGGATGGAGCTGGGATTGTACATTGGCACCTTGACACTCCATTTGCTTTCCACAACAATATGAGGAGTCATTCAGGAGGCATGGTCACATTGGAACCAAGGCAGCAACACCAGTATGCAGAGTGATTCAGAAGGCATGATCACACATCTTGGAACTGGTACAGCAATCACAACATGCACCAAACAGAAGCTAAACACAAAGAACTCCACTGAAGGGGAGGCCATCAGGGTGGACAACAACATGACTTTCATCCTGTGGGCAAGTTACTTACTGGAGGCACAGAAACAACACATGACTGACAACATTGCAGACACAGATGGAAAATCAGCAACAGGCAAGAAGCTGGTGGTGGGCAACAATGTGTTATATCAAGACAACAAGAGTGCCATCAAGCTTGAAAAGAATGGCCAAAAAACAGCACAAAACAACAAAATATATCAGTATCCTGTACTTCTTTGTTACAGACCGCATTGAGAGGAAAGGTGAGGTGACAGTGGAGTACTTTCCCACTGATGAGATAATTGCATACTATTTCAGAAAGCTTTTACAGGGAAGTAAGTTCCAGCAAAGCCCTTTGTTGGTGAAGGATAGAAAGTTGCACACTCAAGAGCCATTTATCCAAAAAAATGGAGATAGGAACATCTCGTTGTGACCCATCATACATGAACAAAACAAAATCCCAGAGAAGTGAGAAATTCATCATCTTATTCTTTTTAATTACCTTGTCAATATTTTATCATCTCTTTAAGACTTCATACACTCTCCTGAACATCATTGTGTTGCTGAGTGTATTGACTTAACACCCTGAACCATCCTGGAATACCGATATGATGATTCAGAACTCGAAGGGACTCAACAAATGCTGAATGACCAATCACCACAGTATGGTATGGCAATGTACATAGCTCTTAGAACGAAGTACTTGGCATTTGGAATGAACATATCCATTACTTTATCTTCCACTGGAGTAGAGGATTGCATTTGAGCTGTGCTTTGTAGCCAGAGCAAAGGTTGTTGATGTCAACAATGAAATCATCGTATTACAGGGATTTCAGTGCCTTCACTCTATTTTAACACAGGCATCACGAACAAAAATCTATGATGGAACATCATTATTTGACTTGGATCAATTATCCTTAACATTTCTGGATTTTACTCTTGATAGCTCTGCATCTACCTGTAGATATTAAAATAGCAATTATCTTTTCTTCCTGTTCGTATTCGATACCATTGAAGTGAACGTCTTAGCCATAAGGGCGTCATAGTCACTTTTCGATAACTTTCGATGACTTTTCAATCTGAATGATGATAATTCTAAAACAACGAATTCAAGGCCAACTTGTCTTCTCCCAAACTTTCAACAGAATCGGGATACCGGATTGCAATTGCCACAGGAACAAGGCAATTCCCCCAACATTTGCGCCTAAGTTATTAATTGTGAACATGGGGCGAGGACAACACGGTTTTGAGACATTTCCGGAGGCATCGGCAGGCGCTCCGGCAACGCAACACAAGACATAACACATGACTCACCGATGTGTACCGTGCGTGCAGCGTCGTTTCCCTTCTGCATTTGTGGGACGGCAGCAACTGTGTCACGGAGGGAAGAAATGCAACGAGCGAGAAAAACCAAAATCTGTCAGACAAAGAATGGATCGTTCGTCGGTTGTCCCGAGTGAAAAGACCGTTTTCGATGATTTGCAACGTACCGGCCAGAGCCCAGAGACAGACAAGGCCCGCGCCGGCATAGAGATGCGGGCCAGGGAAAAGTTTTCCAGCTCGGGCGTATGTGTTTAGAGGACCCTGAACATCGAAGCGTGTCGAACAAAAAAGTGAGAGGATAATAGGTCCATAAACAAACCAAACAAGCCAATATCATAGAGATGACGCAACGGGAGAGAAAAGCGGCAAGTGTGCGAAGACCCCGTACCTCGATGGCAAAAACAGTTCCTAGGAACGCCAGCATGGCACCTTGTCCATAATGTTTGTCTCTGGGGCCCTTCGCTGCGAAAACGGACAAAAACAGATGCGGGGCAAAAGGTGAGATAACAGAAATCAAAAAACTTGCTTTGCGTGATTGTAGAATGACGGGTTCGCACACAACCCCGATGCGCACTAACCTGCCAACGCCTTGCGTTCTTCTTGCAGTTCCTTGATTTCAGAATCGATCGGCAGGGCAGACTGCAACCGAGCTAATTGAACAGAGTCAACCTCTTCTGCAGCTTGACATGCCTTAATCGCCTCCGACACGGATTTGGCGCCAGCCAAATCGGGAAGACTTTTTTTCAAGGTAGAGATGCTATCCCCGATAGTTCGTTGGCGTCGCCATTCGAATCCCAGGAGGGCAGTCGACGCACTCAAGGCCAGCATTCCAAACATCATTGCGGGGTGCAATAGCGATCCCGTCTTTCCTTCGAAAATACCTACGGAAATGAAACCACACAGATTGGCATAGAGTACAAAATTAAATTCCGGATGGGCGAAATCGACAACGTTAGTAGCTGCCCATCTAAAAATGAGCCAATTGTATCATTAACATCGATTGTCTTACCCCAATCAGGCCCAGCAGCATTCGCTGCTTCTGAACTTAGCAAGCACAAGGCTGCCGTTGCCGCGGGAAGCGGGTTGAATGCAATTTCTTCCTCTGCGTCTGCTTCAATCGATGGCTCTGGTTGATGATCCATAGCAGAAAAAAACCTCAAATCTCTGGAAGCTGTGCTGATTGCTTTCGGAGACGCATTGCTCACGGGAGCAGTGAACGCATCAGTTCGTGACACAAGCAAGAGGCAAAAAATAGAGAGTTTCATCTTCTTCTAATTGAGCTTGGCGGTTGTTCAAATATGTGTACGATGTGTATCGACCTTATAACTTTTTGTCGAAGGCAACTGTCCGTAATGTTGTTTCTTTTCGTATTCGACCGGGACAGGAACTTCTTTCGAGCTCATCAACCAGGTCTTACCGTAAGAGTACTATTGTTACTACCTTGTACGTACGAGTACCATATTTGAAACAATGTGGAAGAAACAATCATCATCAGTCACACGTCATTAACACGTAATGAAAAAATAAAGTACTGTACTGGTAGTAAGTACAGTACTTCGTAATGTACAATGTACTGTACGTATTAGAGCTACTAAGTATGGGCCCCATAATGGCAAGTTATTGGCAATCCCCGTACAAATACTAATAGAAATTTTTAGCTCATTTTTACAGTTAAAACCAGTTAAAAAAGGCATCCAATGGACGAAAATAAAAATATTTCCATTGTTTAATTTCTTGCTAGTCCCAAAATATTTCTATTAATGGTCCTTAATACTTGAGATAAGCACTGATTTGATATTCCTAGTAGTAAGGACCAGGAATAGAAATATTTTTGGACTTTTTTGTGTGGAGGGGGGGAGAGGGGAAATAAAGACGGGAAAATGAGAAAAAATTGACACCCAGGGAATTGCCAATAACTTGCCGTTATGGGGCCCGTACTTAGTAGCTCTAGTACGTATCGATAAGTGCTGCAATCATTACTACGGATATCAGAACAAAAGTGATCGCCGCACTAAGAAAGTGGTTCCCATAGTTAATTTAATGGGTCATTCCCGTTGATCTAGATGGTCTAAAAGTCTAAATCATCTACTTCAGACTTTTAAGTTTAACAGGAACCATTAAAAACAGGGTCCTAAGTGACAGTTTTTAGGTGCTCTTCTAGTCTCAAGGAAATTTGGAATCACACCAACAGCAATGACTTGCAATGACTAGTAAGACTGCAAAAGCATGCCCGCGGGTACTAGTTAAGAAAACATGAAATTTTTTATACTGCTGGTGATGTGTTCTACTACATGCTGCTGGTGTACTGCTCATAAATTCCACTCTTCCCTAAACAATAGACAATAGTTGCCTCCCAGCAAACAAAAGGGAGGCAATGAGTGTCATTGAGACCCTTTGCATTTACTGGGCAACCAAGCATAGGGGTCGATTAGTGGAGGTATGGGATGGAAAACAGAAGACCCCAGAGGAGAGAAACGGAAGGGACAGAAGAACACCCTGTATAGCAATCTGTAGGTATGCTGACTCCCCCTTCATCTTCCTCTTCCAGTCAGGGGATGACTAAGTGCTTCTTGACTGTTGTGGAGTAGACCACGAGGTCAATTAAGGCAAGTCTATGCCACAGTGGGAGAGGACACATGGAGTCAAAAAGAAAAAATTAAAAGAAAGAAAAGCCAAAAAGAAAAAGAAAAAAGGAAACGTCACACTTCTTTCACCAAATTACAGCTGAGCCTGCCCAAAGGAGCAGCTGGGTTAATATCTTCTTGAAGAAGACACTGGAACAAATAAATCAATCAATTCTGTCACCGCTAGTCATGGGGTTAAACACTTGGGGTGTTGCTGTTGCTGTCCACCACGGAAGCCAGGAACAGCAACAATCGTGACCGAAAGCACTAGGGCTTCCGGTCCTTGAGAACTGGGGATGGATCCAGCTGAGGCAACTGCACTCAGCTGGAGAAACAATAGTACCGGGTTGATACTGATAGAGTATCAACTGGGGTGGGGTTGTTGTTAGTATTGCATTCCAGCATGAATGTCAGAACCAACAACAACCTGACCAGAAAACTCTTCCGGTCCATAAAATACTGGAACTGCATGGAGGTAGAGATGCTGGGGAATCATCTTTAAAACTGAGTATGATGTTGCATATACTCCAGGCTTTGTTCTTCAAAGGATTGGTCTTGGTTGGATACTGGGGGCTGGGGCTGTTGTTGTTGCTCTCGAGCATGAATATCAGAAATAAAACCACAACCTGACTGGAAAACTCTTCCGGTCTGTAAAATACTGGAACTGCATGGAGATGCTGGGGAATCTACTTAAAACTGAGTATGTGAGTATGATGTAGCATATACTCAAGGCTTTGTTCTGCACGAGGTCTTGGTTGAATACTTGGGCGGGGGTTGTTGTTATTGCTTTCCGGCACAAATGCCGGAGACAACTTGAACACCGGAAGATACCATACAGTGCTTTTGGAGGAACATGGGATGGATCCAGGTGGGTCAAACTGCAGCCAGCTGGGGGGAGAGTTGATACACTTGGAATAGTCTTGGTTACATTGCTTAGTTCCTTCTTGTTGAATGGAGCCAGGGAGGTGGATTTTTGCCTTCTGAAGGGGATTTCACCATGGTTCAGAAGTCGGATGGAGCTTGTCAGGAAGGAATGCACGTAGGAATCAGTAGGAATTCTAGGTGATAATTTTCATAAGCAAAGTGTAATTTCTTGCATTAGAAAAAATTCGATGTGAAAATTATGGTGTTCTTGCAGATTTTACTTGTTGTCTTGGACTAGTGCTCTTCTGGTATAGGACTAGTAGAGGATCTGATGCAAGGGGAATGGCTATGGCCTTTGGTCTAACGTCAACAGTGATTTACAAATGGCTCAAGTTCTCCATGAGGATCCTTCTATCAGTGCTTCATAACCATCCAGCACTTGCCATGGTCAGTCTGCCAAGTGAGCAAGAAATCAATGAGTATGTTAGAGCAATTGGAGAAAAATACCCAAGACTTGGAGAACAATACATCTGCGCAGCAGCAGATGGGCTCAAAGTTTAAATCCAGTCTTCAGAAGAGTGGCTTAAACAAGAGATCTTCTTCAATGAATGGAAGTCAAATACTTATGTGAATGGTGTGTTTGTGTTTGCACCTAATGGTAGGATCCACATTGGTACCTTAAATTGCCCAGGCACATGGCACAATAGCTCCATAAGTGACTATGGAATCTACAACAAGATGGCTCAATTGGACAGCACCTGTGCTGGAGGAGCAAGGGTTGTTGCTGAGTCAGCTTTTGGCTTGCTTGGCAGGGACTATCTCATTCAAAGTTCTCAGACAGATCCAGAGGATAAAGATAGTCTCCTAATAAATAAGGATGCCACGTTGCTGACAAGACAGATGTCCAAGTGGGGGATGAGGATGATCCAAGGACAGTTCCCTACAATGAAGGATAGGCTTAGATTGGAGGACTATGGAGAGAGGAAGATCATTATTCACTTGCTGGTCAACTTGTACAACTACCAGTGCAGTACCATTGGGCACAACCAGATCTTGACAGCTTCCATGAAGATGCCGCTGGCATCAGCAACGCCAGGTCAGCAACGTACAAGGCAATGGAAGATCCTCATACCCTTGAGGTGTTGGCTCTGGGGTACTTCCATGCAGGGAAGAACAATGCATATCCAGTTGGAAACAATGCATTCTTTGAATGATTCCCATGGTCAAGTTGAATATACAACAACAGCTTGTTAGATTGATTAAAGATTGATTAAACACAACATCAATTCAACGCAGCAACAATTCAATGCAGCAACAAGCAATGCACTTACAGTGTTAGCGTCCACCATGGTGGGGGGGGGATTGGTTAGTAGTTTGGTTAGTTTGGTTGAGATCTATTTAGTTTGAGCAAGAATAGTGACCGTTTTAACACATAGTCAAAGCAAAATAGTGAGCCCTGCTATAAAACAGCAACAGGCTTCTTCTTAGCAGGCGTTAGACAGTGTTGTTCTCAGTTTTGCTGATGGTACCGCTCAGTTTTGCTGATAGTACCGATGAAAACCAAGAATAGAAATATTAAGCATGTGGAGTGCAATAACACAAACTGGGGTTTGCTTTCAAATCACATGCATTGATCGGCACTCACATGCATTGTTTGCATACCTTATCTTCATTACACAATATATTGAGACATTTCATTGCTCTGCCTTTGTGTGTAAGATATCCATCTTCATTGCAGTATATTCAAGTTTGAACCATTCCGATGGAGTGTATGCACAAAAACCAACCACTCCCACAAAGGGTATGCACAAAAACCAATACTGCTTCTTGTCTCTTTCAGCTTCTCTCTTGTCCTGCTGCATGAGATACTCTTTAAGAACAGCATCCTGTGCAGCAATTTCTTTCTTCAGCCTTCCATAAGATCTCTTTCTTGTTTCTGTCATGACAATGGGCTCATCATTGATGTCAGTTGTGTCAGAAGTTGATGCTATGTTGCTTGATTTTGGAGTTAAAGCCTTCTCCAAGACCTCAACATCCTCATCATCAATGTAACCTTTCAATGGATCAAAGATCTCCTCTCCTGTTCCAAGATTTGCCTTTATTCCAATCAAGTGATGGGCCTCTCTTGCAAGCTGGACTGACTCAGGGACAATGGGATTCCCAGTAGGTGCCTTCTGTCTCCTCAATCCATTGAACTTGGTTTTAATGGAATCCTTTGTTCTGCCATAAGTATAGCTCTGCCCATGTCTGTGAACCACCATGAGCCAGTCACCGTTACCAATGGGGAGGATCTCCTTGATGAGAGTCATCAATAATACAAGCTCTTTCTCCAAGAAGTTTGCAGTACTGGCCTTACGGCCCGACCCCTCTACTTTTGGTTGCACTGCTTGGGGAACTGGACTAGTAGTCATCTTTGCTCATGGAATGAATATTGTGAGAGGGATCTTCCCCTCCCCCTGACTCAAGGCCTGCAGCAGTTGTGCCTCCCTTTGTTTCAATCAAATAAGCGTTGACAGAAAGTCAAAAAATTAAGACTAGATGGTCTTTTTTGGTCTGTCTGTCTGTCTGTCAAAAAGTAGACCATCTAGATTAATGGGAATGACCCAATGGGTCATTCCTGATCACATTTTTTATCTGTGTCATTTTTGACAGGCCAGCTTGATTAATGTATCTCAAATACTCAGATACTGGTTGTCCTGGGCTCACGACAGCCAAGATCTATGCATTTGACATAAATATTTATTGGAATCCCTTACTTCACATTTTCAATCTGGTGAGCAGGTGTGCCCTGAAGACAGGAGTTACTTGGCGCCAAAACTTCTTCTTTGTTTCCTCCCCTCAACAAGAACAGAACACTGCCAGTTTTTCCAAGCCAGACGCTGTTTAGGAACGAACAAACTGAGAAGAGATATCAGAAGTTATCTTCATTCTGGATGGTGGGGTAAAGAATATTATTACTTCGCAAGTGTAAAATATTATTGGTTGCAGAACATACTTTCTGTCATCGAGTAAGAGAGACCAAATACTGACCAGGAATATCTCGACGCTCATGGAGGATCAACGAAGATAGCTGACAACGATGTTATTATTACCCTGTGGAAACTGGGTGGCTGAATTACAAAGCTAGGTGTGCGCTACTTCCAACTTTTCTTCTTGAGACAATTGTAAAGAGTGACCAGAAAAATAACTGTCGAAATAATGGATCTCTAGAGCGTTACACTAATATTGCTTCCACCGCTTTCATCCGGCTGATGTGATCGTGTTTCATTTACTCCTCTGATGCAAACATGGCGGCATCATTCTTCTCAACCAACGCCGTCAAGGCCATATCTCCCTCAGAAATCTTTCGAATGTAACCAACCAAACAGTATGGTGTAGCATCTCCGGTAGCCAATCCTGTCACGGGATCAACATTGGCAACATTTACCTGCACGCTAGAGTGATCCTTTGCTTCGACCAATCTGTTTGTCCAGTTACACTTTCTTGGGACGTAGAGGTCAACGTTTTCTCCTGCTTCGTTTTGCATATTGTCGACTTGTACTAAGTTAAATCTATCAAATAATCGGGAAAGAAAAGTGGTTGCGATGAATCAGAAGGATTTCGTTCGGGGTCAAGACTTGTCTCAGGGCAAAAGTTCGGTGTTTTCGATCAAAGTAAAGGAGAATCCAATTGAAAAGTACAGATGACCCCTGTCGACGCATCCGCTAAAAAGCGGGACGTGCAACTCTCTTGTTCCATCATGGTTAGACACATCATCTTCACATCGACCTCATCTCACTTACCTACGCTAACTATTTTTTGTTTTGGAAATGGGCAGAGAGTTGGTGGCAACATTTGCTGGTCCTTCTTCCTAGTAATCGAGTAAGCGTAAAACCCCAACTCTAATATCATTAAAGGTTCATACCACATACCGTACTGTACTACCGGTATGTAGGTAAGAATCATCGTCATCGCTTGCTCATCGCTCACTCCCCTACCGGCCGGTACTGGTACCGTCGAATGGAATTTTTTTCATCCTGATGCTGAAAAACGTGCGCGTTGCACACACCTCTAAATTATGACCCCTGCCCTGACTACCTTACTGTACGTACCGTACTCGTACCCATACTACTCGTACCCAGCCCCCGAAATAGTACTAGAAGTAGGTACGAGTAGTAGCCAGGGGTCATAATAATAATATAATAGTGACCCCCACCTGTAATCTGTAAAACGTACGGTACGTACGTACTAGCACCGGTAGTACAAGTTTGCTCCTTTCATCAATTCAAAATCAGTACGTACAGTACGGTATGGTATTATGGTCGAAAATTGAAAAGACCTTTTCCTTTTCCGTAATGGGTGATTCCCATTATTATTGCTAAATGTGCTAAAGCTATGATTTTAGCACTTCTTTAATAGCAGGAATCAAAATTTCAACAGAGAGTGCAGAGAGACTGAGAGGAATGCTGGCTCAATGCCAGTCTTTTTGGGAATTTGGAATCTTAACTATACTCCAACCAACATAAAGACTAGTAGTAGCTAAAAAGACTTAAAACGCGCGCCACTTCTTGTTGTTGTTGGTACGAGGAAAAAACAAAATTTTGGATCAATACTCTAGTAGGAGGAACACACATATTTTTGAAACTCTCAATATACTAATATGATTTCATATTAAAAAATATGTACATTCCTTGCACTACTAGCTAATGAGTCAACAAACCATTCCTAGCCACACTACTAAAAGACCAGTTTTCCCCTCTGCTGCTGGCAACAAGAAACAAGAAGGCCACTATGGGAATAGTGGAGGTCATTACAATGTACTGGTATATCAAGTTGAACATGGTGGACAAGCAGCAAAAAAGTTACAAGAACAAACTATCTCAGGAAGATCATTGAAGGAGGGATAGTAGGAGAACCCCCTGGCTGGCAATTCGGAGGTATGCGCCATCACCCTTCCTCCATATGTTCCACTTGGGGCCTCACCAAGACCTCCTCAACTGCTGTGGTGTAGACCACAAGGTCTTCAGGGAGCTTTTTGACCTGTTTGAATCCCATGGTCAATTTGTTGCTGCAGTTGTTTTCAAAGAAGGAGGAAGTTAACCAAAGAATGAACTTTAGTTACAGCATGCATTGACATCCAATCAATACTACGATCATTCAGATTCAATGAAATTGATCATAAGACCCAGATTCAATACAATTGATCCAGCAATTGTCAATAGGGGGACTGACTATGGTGGAGAGGGACACAATGGTTACTTTCCTTAGCCTTGTTTTAATCAGCTCTGTTTTGGTTGCTAACAGTACTCATGTTTGTATAATGAACTGAAGGGGGGGGGGGGGTTGATCTTGCTACTACATGCTGAGCTGCAAGCAAGCTGTTTGTTCAGGGTTTTTTGTTAATATACACTAATGATCATATACATACAGGATTATACTGTAATGAATACAAATTCAGCATTATACTGTAATGAAGACAACTTTAGGATTCAGGACATGTGCATGCTGATCCGAACTGTTTTTGTGGGACTTCACAAATCCTAACAGAGGCCCTACAGTTTCTAGTCCTGCATTGGTACACACAAAACCCTTTACAAGAAAACCTTTACAACAAAACCAGAGTAAACAGCTGTATAGTCTGTACTAGGACAGTATGTGATCACACGGTACCACAGTGGACTGCATGCTCAAGCTCATTGTTTTGTATCAGCACAGGTASAGTTTAGTTTAGCTTAGTTTACTTTACTTTAGTTTAACGATTCAAACATCCTCTTGCCCATGGTGCTTTTCACCACGGGATTCTTTCTCCCAGGCGCATTGGCATGTACACTGCTTTAGACAGGAAACAGTGGTTGCCATTGAGAACATGGCAGTGGATATGGCAGCAGGAGAAGTTGATGAAGGGCCATAGTAATGGTAGGGGGGAGGAGGACTATGGTAAGATTGTTGTTGTTGTTGTTGTTGTTGTTGTTGTTGTTGTTGTTGTTGTTGTTGTTGTTGTTGTTGTTGTTGTTGTTGTTGTTGTTGTTGTTATTGTTGTTGTTGTTGTTGTTGTTGTTGTTGTTGTTGTTACCACTTATTGAACATGGAAACATCAGTTCCAATAACTCCCTCCACATCTCCTGATTCTCTTTATACATCTCACAGTTCTCTTTGTGTCCTCTTTACTCTCTTCTTTCCTGGCTCTTAATGTATTCATTGAATGCAGCGGCATCCGGGACACTGGATTTCCTCTGTTGCTGATAAGATCTCTTTCTTGGGGTTGATTCAACAAGAGAAGGGGTCAAATTGCTAGAGGAAGCTACAGCAGCAAACTCCTCCTGCTCCTGTTGGTGTTCTTCTCCACCATTGATAGAAGATGCGTCTCTGGCAAGAATAATTGAAGCCCTTGCAGAAGCTCCATCACAAACAGTTGAAACTCCAGGCTCCAAACCCTCCACAGCCTCACTCTTAATGAAACCTTTCTTCATATCAAAGTCCTCCTCTCCGTTACCAAGATTTTCCTTCTCACCAATCAAGATACAGGCCCTTTGTGCCATCTTCCTGCACTCTGGCATGTTCTTGGTCCTACCTATAGGCCATCTCTCAGCATGCTTTACCACAAGCGCATCCCAGCCCTCGGCATCTACTATAGTAGGAAGCATGTCCAATCATATCAAGCTCATGATGAGACTGGTGAGCTCATCAAATGAGTAGTTTACAGTACCGGTCCTGCAGCCAATATTGCTACCAGTTAGGTCCATCTTCTTAACAAATATAGTGTGGGGGATGGGACAATGAGCCTCCTCTCCTTGTTGTTTGAGGCTGGTTCGGGGACAAGAATGAGCTCCCTCTTTGAGGTTGTCCGCCTCCTCCTCCTCGTATTGATGCTCTCTTTGCTGCAACAAAGAAAGGAAATAGAATGTACTGACTAAGAGCACAGATCCAGACATAGTTTATGTGTCACCATATTTGTTAGTCGTTAGAGGCACCTCGGCGCCATTCTTAATTGAGGCTACTCCTCTCTTATTTGTTCTTGGTTAGAATAGATGAAGAGTCTTAATTTTGTCAAGTATTCTGACACACTTTCTGTTGAGTCTTACAACGTACTTGAAATTTTGATTCTTGGGTTCCGTCATAGATTTAGCACATTTAGGATGGGGTCATTGGTCATTGGACCCATCCTAAAAATGCTAAATCTATGACAACATGCGATAGATTTTTGGTCTGTCTGTCTATCAAATTTAGCATTTATAATAACGGGAATCACCCAATCGATACCTTACGGCACCTTAGATACAAGGGACAATGGACATAACAATCTGCGTACGGTACTTCAGCGGATGGATATCAAATCTGAAACAGGTTGTTTTTTACCATGCCGATTCGTTCCTACACATACTCTGGTCCTTCTAGTGGTGCTATAGCTTTTGAGCTGTTAGCCAAGATTCAAGAGGCGCAAGTCGCCGTGAATGCTTCTCCCGACGAGAAACCAACCGTAACTGTCGTTACGACCAACCCTTTTGTTGGAACGTCTACGACTTCGACATCAGACTCTTGGGCCGGCTGCGCAAAAACTCTATCAGGTTTGATCCCATCACTGGGTTTGTGGATGGATCACGATGAAATTTTGGTTGAATGGATCGATTCTGCTGCAGCAGTTTTAGGTATGTGTGGGATAACACAGCGATATTATCATTCATACCAATCACAAATATAAAATTTATCCTTGATTTCCTTCTCGAATTCATGTTTCCAACTCGATCAGAAAAAGATTCCGAGAATTCTGCGATCGATTTCTTGTCAAAACTTGAAGATTATCTTGGTAAGAATGGTGGTGATTCGTACTTGGCAGGGCAATTCAGCGCTGCAGACATCTGTGTTTCGGTTTGGTGCTCGTCAGCGATATCAAAGTTTGATTTGGTTTCGTCGAAGAGAAAAGTTTCGTGCGACTGGCTTGTGAAGATTCTGAAAGCTCTTCAACCGTATGATGAAAACGGCGAGATATCGAAAAGACTTGTGGCTTTGGAGATCGGTGAAGTTTCCGAAACTGTAGGAGATTTGAAGATTAATAGTGCTTCAAACGATGCTTTCGAGGATAATGAAACGGTCCAAAAGTTGAGGGAATTGGGACTGGAGTTCGATGTTTATGCTCATGAAGCATGCATGACAGCTGACGATCTGGTAGCAAATGTCCCTCTCCCCTCTAGCAAGGAAACGCATACTAAAAATTTGTTTTTCAAAGACAAGAAGCATGGTTTGTTCTTGGTGACACATGCGACATCTACCATGTTCAATACGAAACAGTTAGGGTCAAAACTTAACTTGCAGGGCAAAGTGAACATGCGTTTGGCGAATAGTGAAGTGCTGGAAAAGCACTTGAATGTGAAATCAGGTTCTGTTGGACCGTTGTGTATTGTGAATGACGAATCCAAAGAGGTAACGCTCGTTGTAGACAAATTCCTCGTTGATGGATCGTACGATTTCATTCATTCTCATCCCCTTCGCAATGATGCTTCACTGAAGATGAAACCTAGCGTCATGGAAGAATTCTTCAAAAAGATTGGCATTGAGCCTGTTGTAGTTGACTTCTCAGCAGAAGACGCATCTGGTGGCGGTCCCCCTGATGGTTCGAAAAAAATGACCTCAGGAAAAGGCAAACAGCAGAAGGTGCCACCGAAGAAACAGAAAGTTTCCAATCAGAACGAGAAAGGAAAGACTAAACTTGCTCTGCAATACAAAAAGTCGGAGAATTTTCCAATGTGGTATTCTAATGTCATCGTGCTGAGTGAAATGATTTCCTACTACGACATAAGTGGATGTTATATTTTACGTCCGTGGTCGTACAAAATTTGGGACCTCATGCAACAATGGTTCAATAAGAAGGTACGGGGTTGACAGTACCTTTGTTTTGTTTACGTGCTTTGTTGAACTCGACATCCTTGTGGTACCAATCTTACTGGAACGTGCAATTGATGTCTTCCATGTTTCGATGTTCTTAAACGTACCAGATTTTGAAACTCGGCGTAGAAAACTGTTACTTCCCTTTGTTTGTATCTCAAGATCGGCTCGAAAAGGAGAAGGATCATGTAGAAGGCTTCGCACCAGAAGTCGCGTGGGTAACTAAGAGTGGTGATGGTGAGCTCGCAAAACAAATTGCGATTAGACCGACATCTGAAACAATTATGTACCCTGCGTTTTCCGACTGGATTAAATCTCATCGCGATCTTCCTCTGAAGTTGAATCAATGGTCTAATGTTGTGCGATGGGAGTTTAAAGACCCTACTCCTTTCCTCCGTTCTCGTGAATTTTTATGGCAAGAGGGCCACACTGCCCATGCTACCTTCGAAGAAGCTGACGAAATGGTTATGGCTGCTCTCGACTTATATAAACAAGCCTACCAGGACTTACTATGTGTTCCTGTCATTCCCGGATTCAAGACAGAACACGAGAAATTTGCCGGTGGACATCAAACTACAACGGTTGAGGCTTACATTCCAATTTCGGGACGTGCAATCCAAGGCGCCACTTCACATAATCTTGGTCAGAACTTCGGAAAGATGTTCGATATCAAGTTTCAGGACGAAACGGGTGCCTCGAAAATTGCTTGGCAAACTTCTTGGGGCCTCACGACACGAACAATCGGTAAGTTTGGTAGTTTGACCTTTTTGGATGTATAACATCTCTACAAATCATGGAACCGATCATTCAACAGATGGTGTAGTTTCGTCGATTGAGACAACGGTGGCTAACAGATCATTTCTCTGCGCGAATAGGTGTCATGGTTATGGTCCATGGTGACGATAAAGGCCTCGTGATGCCGCCCAGAGTATCTCCGGTCCAAGCTGTGATTGTCCCTATTCTAAGCAAGAAATTGCTGATGGAAGATGCGAATCCTTACTGTGTGTCCGTCTTGCAAGATTTGGAATCTCAAGGAGTAAGTGTTTCATTGCATACCAGCCTACGGTACATCATTTCACATATATGTCGTTTTATGTTCTAATCGTTGTATTTTGTTTCATACTTCAAAGCTGAGGGCAAAATATGACGACAGAACCATGTATAATCCAGGTTGGAAATATAATCATTGGGAACAAAAGGGTGTCCCAATCCGTATCGAAGTCGGTCCTACGGATATTGAGAAATACCAGGTTCGAGCTGTTATCCGACATAATGGAAAGAAAATTGACTTGCCTTTGGAAGGTTTGGGTGTTCATTTGAGGGAAATGCTTGAGGATATTCATCAAGAAATGTTTGACAAGGCTTCGGCGGAAAGAGATAACCATCTTGTACAGGTTACTGAATGGAAGGACTTTGTTCCGAATTTAGAGAAAAATAATCTTGTACTCACTCCATGGTGTGGACCGGAACATGAGGATTGGGAAGAATGGGTGAAGAAGACCAGCAGAGAAGAGTCGCTTGTGAACCTTGGTGAAGAAGCAGAGGACGAACGCACTGCCACATCTGTTGCTGCTAAGACGCTATGCATCCCTTTCGATCAGCCAGAACTACCAAAGGGTAGCAAGTGTATCGCAAGTGGAATGCCTGCGACTTGCTGGGTCCTTTGGGGTCGCTCCTACTAATATACTAATGAAATTAGCCATCACGTAAAGAAACAATAAGTTCCTGCTATTGCCTCGCACATTTCTCGCAAACAAAATCATTTGTCATTGATCACCAAAGAATTGTCACCGTTTCCAACTAAACCACTTCTGGTCCCAACTATTGTTAGTCTGATAGTGCTTTGCTATAAGGAGACTCTTGGACCTTTGGAGTAACATATCTAGTGTCTGACCATTCTATGAAGCAGCTGGCCAAGGTATCAGTGGCAAAAGATGAAAACATGTTACTATAATATTAGGCTTAACCTTGTGACCTAGAAGAGGCACTAAGTTGGCCAGATCCATTGCTTTTCCTAACTAGGGAGAAGAATGCTTCTAGCTGCTCTGAGAGGAAGCACCGCCCTCTGAGGAGATTTTGTGGCGGAGCGACCAGGTTCTATGAAAATTGTTAAGCCATTTAAGGCCTGGGGCTGGACTCAGGATACAGAGAATGTGTTGGCTCACAGTTAGGATGAATGAGAGCATGCCATGATCATCTCAAATTGCATCATCTGCGAACTGAATTTTTTCAAACGCGCAAAATCACACTTTGGTTCTGACAATTATCACCTAGATTTCCTACTGATTCCTAAGTACATACATACCTGACAAGCTCCTTCTGGCTTTCGAACCCACCATGGTGGTGGCATCCCCTTCAGAAGGGGAAAATCCAACTCCCTGGCTCCATTAAAGCACTTCTTTTAAACAGCAAGAAGCAAGACTATTTCAAGTATATTGATACTCCCTAATAGCTGGTGGTAGCAGTTTGCCCCAGCTAGTGGATCCATCTCCAGTCCTCCGGAAGTGTCTTCCGGCATTGAAGTTTTTTCCGATATTTGTGCTGGAATGCAACAACAACAACCCCAGCCCCAGTATTCAACCATGACCTATTGAAGAACAAAGCCTGAAGTATATGCTAACATAATATATACTCTGAAGAAGATTCCCCAGCATCTCCATGCAGTGTTTTATTTACGGACCGGAAGAGTTTTCTGGTTGCGTTGTCGTTGTTGTTGTTTCCGGCACAGATGCTGGAAAGCAATACCAACAACTCCAGCCCCCAGTATACTGCATCAACCAGTATCATTCCCAGTACTATTCCCCCCCCCCGTTGAGTGCAGTTTGCCTCAGCTGGATCCAAGCCCAGTTCTCAACGACTGGAAGCTCCGTGCCAGAAAGCAACAACACCAACCCCAGCCCCCAGTATTCAATCAAGACTTATCCTTTGTAGAACAATGCTTGGAGTATATGCTACACATACTCAGTTTAAAGATGTCAATAAAGCATAGTATCTGGCATGGATAGCGCTTCAGGACTGGATTACCCTCAACGTCAACCAGATAAACACCCCTTATCTTCAAGAGATGGACCAGAAAATACGCCCAGTCAAACCACACATTGCATTCTTGTCCAGAATCAGATTTGAAAGAGGGGTGTGCACAGAATAACAGCTTTCTGTTTGTTGCCAAGTCAATTTGCTTGTGTTTGGTGAATCCTTTCAACTCCTCTTTGGCAACTGCATCCAGCATGTTGTTTGCACAAAAATTAATAACCTCCCTTGGTAAGCAAAGAAGGTTTCTCTGTTGGATGTCCTTAGAATCCCATTTCATGTACAGCAAACCTGTGGTGTCTCTTTTTCCAATCATAAACAAGGAGCCACCATTTGGTGTAGGAAAACGGAGATTTGTTACCCCATTGTAATAGTCAAACTCAAGGTGAAGTTGATCAATTGTTTGGTATTCCATGTGACGCTTGGCAGTTTGTTTGATTAATGACAGGGAGGTTTGGGAAGTTCTTTTAGCAGGAGCTTTCACTTCTGTCTTATGGCTGCTCTTGCTCCAGGAGGAGTCCCATCCAGAAGGAGGGCCATACAACCAAATGTATTGGGAAAGATGAAAATACATGTGGTTCTTTATAAGATTGTTGCCCATTCCATCCATCCGCATGAGATAATTGTTGATGTTGTCAAGGAAATGAACAATCATTTTGTCCAAGTTAGAAGCTCTGGAAATCCCTTTTGGGTACTGAAAAACATCTTCCCAAATTTGATTGTCCAAATTGTTGTTGGATGACCCTTTGCTGTCAGGAAGTTCAGTTCCAAAATATCCTGTGGGGTACCGGACCACTTCAAGAATTCTTCCATGCCCAATATGAGTTCCAATGCATAAATACGCCCATCTATCATTTCTTCCGCTTGACAATGTATTAGTAGACCGCAACCTTCAGAGGATCTGCAGTAACAGCATTCCACTAAAATGATTGCCCTCCTTCTTAGTGGTGTCAATAGACTCTGAAAAATTGGTACTGGGAAAATCACGGGCAGACTGCCTCTGGAGTGATGATCCGTAGTAGTTGGCTAGAGTGTCCATACCATCAAGGAGTTTCGTTGAAGTTCCAAGAAACACATCACGGAAGGTTTCAGCAGCTCTTTTTGCACAGTCTAACTGGTGCATATGAAGTCTCTCCCCAGGAGAAGCGAGGTGAATGCTGTGCAAATTTGCACCAAAGTTGAGTTTGTGAAAGGCATTTCAATGTAGGATGCTATGATGATAGATATTTTGACAATGTTGACCAAGGGACACTCCTTCAGGAACAGTTGACTCCTTGAAATCTGAAGGACACCACAAATAGAGGGGAGGCAACAAGGACTTCCTGCGATCTCTGTCATGTGTTGTTTTCAACTTCCAAGGGTGTGGGGACCAATGCAGTGTCTACATATCATTCTAGTGTTCGCGGATGTGTAATGACCACAGAGTTTGTATTGCTGTTCAGTGTCACCAATGAAAAATCCTACCGCAAACTTCATTTTCACATTGAAAAGCTTCCCATTCCATAGACAATTTTTCCATTCAATAGCATGGGAGGACTCGCACACTTCTTTGAAAGAGGCAAAAGCAGCTCGTAAAACATCATGGAGATTATTGACATTGTCTACAGACTGGTTGCTTTTTTCCTTGGGATGGAAGTATATTGTCTCCCAAGCATTGGGTCTGGTAGAACGTGTATAATCACTTAATATCCCCAGGGTCATGTTAAGAGGGCATAGTGTTGTGCTTCCATGTCTATCAATAGCAATACCATCCATATACAATATAATTGGCACTAGCATCTTGTTGCTATTTGGGACACACTTATCCTTCCATGTTTGCAAACACCATTGCCCATGATGGAGTTTGCAAATACGAGTGTCTTGTGTGAGTTCAGGGTTGCAGCAGGGGGACGTAGGGGTTCTTTGGTTGGGGAAGGAAAGATTCTCTTCCTTGATCAAAGACACATTAGTAAGAAGGGAATGTAACGCGCGTCGGAATGACCTCACATATATTTGTTTGCGGCCAACACCATCCCTTGACCACTAATTGATAAGGTGTGGTTTGAAATGATCACTGCATAGTTTGGGAGCTATTTTGTAGCATTCTTCCAAAACCTTCTGCCAGGTTTGTATTAAACAGTTGCCGGCGCTCCAACTAAATCCAGATAAACTCTTGGATTCAATGGCCCACTTGTAAAGTTCCCCCTCTCTGCGACTAACGGTATATTGTGGTCTCTCATGATCTTCAGTAGTTTTATTTTCACTTTGGTTGGAGCAGAAACATACCTTGTCACAGAGGGAGCAATTATTGTGTTCTTGTCAGCTGTATCTTGCTTGACGGGTTGGACATAGTCAAACATTGGTGCATCATTGTCAACATCAGAATCGACAGCATTCATTTCAGAATCAATCAGGCATCAATTGACAAGTTCAACAGATGGGTTGTCCATCACTTGATGGCCAAAGTTTTCTGGCATACCACTTGCAGGACTGTGATTAGTATTGGTTAAACAAAATTGTCGGCTGACATCCTCCTTGTCCTGTGTGATTTTGTAAAGAGAAGAGCTAAAATCATGGACACCGTCCCCACCATATAGAGAATAATAGTCAAAACATATATGACTCTCAGAGAGATGGGTCAATAATTTGGCAGATGTAATGGCACCTGTTTTTTGTTGTTGCATTTGGCGCTATAGAATATGGGAAGCTGGGTCCTGCAATCACGGGACCCGTGGCAGTTCTGGCAAAACACCTTGAGCTTGGGAGGACCCATGTTAACAACCAATGCATGGGTGACAGGATTATTGTGTTATCGGGTCCAAGGGTACTGATTTTCAGGCATACACTATGAAGTTGGATGGATCTGGGGTGGATTGAGAGGCAAATTGAGAAATCATGTTCCCAAAAAATGGAATAAAAATAGATGTTTGATAAATTAATTCTTCATTCATAATCTAACTGTAGGACTGGAAAATTTAAGGGTTGGGACCATGCAAAATGCACAATACCATGAATCCTGTTTGTGTGATGTAGACAAGAATGCTTGAGTGTTCCAGCATAATGTTAACATTAGTAGCTACTTCTAGGAGGAATACTAGTACTAGCATGGCAACACTGGTGACCGTACTAGTACTAGCAGAAGAAGAAGTAGTAGTACTAATAGTAAAACTTTAAAAGCACTAGGTAGTAATAACACACTTAACTCAATTTCCAATTATCATTGCTAATGCACGAACTGCTCACAGACAAAGTGCTGGTTTCATCAATTTGATTAAATTCTTTCATATTTTACTTATTTTATTTTACTTACAATATTTTTCCGCCTCTGCCCTCAGTTTTTGCTCCTCATTTTGTTAGGTAGTGAATCATGAATTTCAAGTTCATTCAAAACGACCCAGTAATGATGGAACGTACCATACCTAACGTGTTCAAAAACTGATTTGAAACGCAAGGTACCGGTAATTGCACGCCAGGGTTAGCGACAATGACAGGATAGATGAACTAGATTTTTCAATCGCAAAACTAGTTTCAGAAGTTGCACCATAAGAAGCCTCAAAACTTGCCGATGCCACAGAAGAAAACAAGATGGTGAAAACAGAGAAACAAATTAAGAGAGAGGCACACATGAGAGAAGAGCATCCTAATGGATTCTGCTTGGTTGCTAGAGACACTCCAGCGAATCGCAAACTTTTTCCGGATGGACCGTTCGGTAAGGCTTGAACAAGAAAGATCAGTTGGAATCGGGCGGTCAGTTTGCGTTGTTTCCACGCTAACAAAGCTTTTATTCTTTCTTCGTATTTTCCTTCCGTTTAACCAGGTGAACCGGATGTGGCAGATACAATTTGCCCGTCGGAAGACAATTGTCCCCATTACCATTACACCGAGGACGCTGATGCAGTAGCTGCCGAAGAAACTCCGATTCACATTTTGATTGCTTCCTTCCGAGACAAGTTGTGTGCGAGAACTCTTCACAACGCTTTCAAACACGCCAAAAATCCCAAACGGTTGACCTTCAGGGTCATCGAACAAACGAAAGCCGACAGCGATCTCGAAGATGATCAGGGTTGCTGGGATGGTTATTGCGAAAAGTATAACCCTAACTGCCAAGAATACAAAGATCAAGTCCGGATCGTCCCCGTAGACGCTACCCAAAGCATGGGTCCGACCTGGGCTCGTAGCAGACTATCTGCCATGGTAAGAAAATACTTGTTAGATAGTACCGAGCATCACTATCGAAGGCTCTGACTGTTGATTGCCAATTCGACTTCCAGAAGAGACGCATTCGAGAACCGAGCTTATCACTTCGTGCTTTTCGTTTATGTCTTGCAGATTCATTGGGACTACGTTCATCGAGACAAGTCCGACGAGCTTGACTTTCAGCCAGTCAACATGCAAGATTTTTGCATGCAGACCGATTCACACATGGACTTTTCTGACAACTTTGATGTCGACTTGATCGATATGTTTCATTTGACCAAAAATGATTACGCAGTATTGAGTACATACGTGACAGATATTGAAGAAAACAACAAAGATCCCGTTAACGTACCCAACTTGTGCATGGTCCAGTTCACCTCGTCAATTCGAAATTGGGCAACAAAGGAATGCAACTATTTGAAACGACCCAAGCTGACGAACGGTACGTATTAGTCGCGTATATTCGCATGCATCGCTAGGAAAGTATTGCGGTCATTGTTCTCATAAAAACGCCTTTTCTACTCGCGTTCTTGTAGCCATGTGGGGAGCTGGACTGAGTTTCCATCGATGCCATGCCGAACTAAATGTGCCAGTTGACCCGTATTTGGATAATGTGTTTGACGGAGAAGAAGGCAGCCGTGGCCTTCGATTCTTTACGCACGGCTACGATGTCTACTCACCCCATCGAGTCCTCGTGACGCATGATTATGTGGGTACTACCTCTAAGAACTTTTGTCGTTGCTTTGGTTGCCAATAAATATGTGTCTCACTCGTTGAAATTTTTTTTTCTTTCAATTTGGATATTTTTGCACTTCAAAAATCAATTCACATGTAAAACCTTGTCTTTCAGCACACCCATCAAAGCAACCCTGTTGTTCACACATGGGGACGTAAACGTTCACAAGGAGATATACATGAATCCAGTTGGAAATGGCTGGATTCGATACAGGCTGTTCGCGACAGGTTGACGACTTTTGGTAGCCAAAGGGTGAATATGATGTTGGGTTTTGGTAACCCTTATCCAGAATCTACAGAAGAAACCGAACTCATCCGAAAATCCCGATTCGGAATAGGCACAAAACGAACCTTGAAGCAGGCCGAGGAATTTTCAGGGATCAATTTTAGAAAGAAGAAGATGGACGTCAACCGGTGTGGAAATCTGATTTGGGTCCCGTACGAAGAAAGCCCAGATTATGGCCTTGCTGAGACCCTTAGTAGACCAAATACAGACGAGGAGGTTGTACCCTTTGTAGTGACACCTGATTCTCCGCCTTTTTTCAAAGATGAAGTCATTTCTATGTCCGAAACCGTCCACATTGCCGAATCGGATTACAGATTTGTCGCGGGAGTCGTCCTGGTTGCCATCGCTCTAGTGCTGAAGGTACGTACGCAGAAACGAAAGAAGGATGACTCCCACAAAGAGTAAATAGAGTCAGTGTCAATCCTAGCGCTCGCAGAGGGTGGTGAGAAGAATCTACTTTTTTAATTTATTGAAGGACCATACAGCGTTCTGTGCTCGTTCAAGCGATTATCAATCAAGCGTCTTGCAGATTAGCGATAAGTTTATTTTAGGATCGATTTAATATTGATTGTTTGGGAGGTAGCGAATTGAAGCCGAGGCTCATGTATCATAAACTACAAATGTGAACGAAACAAGCCGCTGTTTCCCCTTTCTCTGTAGATATCAGTGCTAGGTTTGGTAACTCCAGCACCTCCATATGAAGAACGATTTGCGGTATTTGTCAGAACGATCACCTATGTTATCATTCACACTGTTCGTAAAGGATGCCTTTTCGAATGACATCCAACTCGAGTCATATTCTAGTAGCCTTTATCTGGTACGTTTGGGACTTATGTATCTAAATGCAATACCACACATTCTTTTTCTGCACAACCTTTTATCCTTCAAAGGGCAACGTCGAAACAAGTGGAAAGCAGGGAAGATGCTGTTCGTTGGATTCTTCTCGATCTGTTATCGCTTCTAGAGGCTCTTTCCGATTCCTGTTGGCTTCTCCGATGAAGAAGGTTCCGTTCGGTTGCCGAAACAGTCGTTCTCGTTGGTCGCACAAACATCGGTATCCGCTGAGTTGGGAACGGTCAAGGTTTCTGCGATGTCGCATTGTTTCATTTCGCGCAGCATTTAGCTCCCGGTGTTCAAGATTTGTTTGGGGTTCCGATGACGCAAAAAAGGATTCGGTAGTTTGAGAGAGGGTCAGCCTAGGGTGGGGAGAATTGTTGGGCTGTTTCATAATGAAAAGCACTTAGAGACGCCCTCGAAGGTCGGCATCGAGGTGCTGGGGCCCGACGTGATGGTACCGGCCGAATTGCCGAACCAAGAGAATTTGATATCAAATAGAAAATCTCTCAGGGACTAGATAGGGCTGGTACCACGACCAACGGCGGCCTGCTACCATGTGCGATGAAAAAGAGATACGGACAAAGGCATTTCCTCCTATCCAATAATAGGTAACACTTGTCGTAGCGATGAGACGCGAATAGTTGCATCAAATGGTTTGGCATTACCGTCTTCCCACAGGAGAATCAGAGACGAACTATTGCCCGTGTCGGCTTTCAAAATTCTCGGGCAAAACATCCGATCAAGGTCGTGATAGAATCGAGCCATTTCTGTGCCTTCTGGGACGCGTCACGCAGATTGTTTGAGCAAAGCATATTGTCGGCGACCATGATTTGTTCGAACCATCCAGCCGGCTGTGCTTAGGATCGACCGGTGCCTCGAAGAGAAGCCCTTTTGTCGCGGTTTCGTCATTCCTTCATCGGATCGTTGGAACACGCCGAAGGAGCATTCGTAAGATTGAATCCCTCCTGCAGGGGTCATACTACGCGTTTCATAACAATTGAATACGGCCGCGCGAGCGCGCAAGTGCTCTTGAATCAAAGTTGTCAACTTTGAATCCAAGTTGTCAACTTGCAGCGCAAGTTGCCAACTATTGTACGTAGGCCCACATACAATTAGTACTAGCCCCGCTAGGGCCCGCTAGGGGCATGCCGGCTGGCCAACTGCTGCTCAGCGGGGGGGAAGCAAGAAGCAAGATTAGCTGATTTGGAAGGATCCTGGTACAAAGCTGTGTAGAAAATCCCGTAGAAAATCGTGAATCAAGGTTGGCTTGAGATTTTGGTCAAAATAGAAGGGTTTTTATCACACGTTCAAAAATGTACTGTGTCCTAGTGTGGTTGACCTAAAAAACTTCCTGATTTTTGTGTATCAAAATTAATCAACCCTTAAGAAAAATAACCAAAAATACCACATCCACCATGGTGAAATCAATCAACAACTCCTCCAAACAAACACACCGGTCTTGCTTAAGACTTACAAACGACTTCGATCCAGCTCAATTGAAAACAGTCTCAATGACCATGAATCTCTGGAACCCAGCAAGAAAGCTATCCAAGACCTGCACAACCTTCTCGGGGGAGCATGGTTTACAGGAACTGTTCCATGTACAAGAAGACTTTGAAGATGCAATCCTAGACTTGGAGATAGCAGAGGATCAAATAGACAACAAGTGGCAGATGGTCCTGCAACATGGACCCAGACAGAAGTGGAATAACATGTGGCGCAACAACAGATTAACGGAGCAGGTGCACGAGATTACG